AAAAAAAAAAAAAAGTAAAATGAATTTCAATACATAGTAGAATGCAAAAATAGATGAGGCCAAAAGACCTGTGTATCACAAAATTATGCAAATTGGCATCCTCTCTACAGAAAGTAGATTGTTCTGGACTCAGAACCGAACCAAGGTACCGACCGACAAACACCGAAGCACACGGATTGCCAATTGAGATTTAAAAGTGAGCCTTTATTAGCTGGCCAGCGACTGACTGAGAGCCTCCACGCAGGGTGGGATCAGGTCAGCCCCAAACCAGGACAGAGAGCAGTATTTAAGCCAAAAAACCACATAAACCACATCCTGCTTGGCAAGCAAGGTCTTTGTGAAGCAGTCTTCCGAAAAACTATAGAAACTACAGGAAAATTACAAGAATGGAACGATACATCTCGGGAAGTTTCGAGGAGTGGCTAGAATGCGGAACGCAGCAGGTGGGAGAAAAAAATAGGGTAATCAATAATTTTTCTTTCTTATGTTCTTTGTGAGGCCATGTATGTCCCTTGTGAGGCCTTTACATAGATCTTTTTTATTATTGTTATAATTATTTACACATATTAATTGTACAAAGTAATGCATTTCTCTGTACCATTTCTATACGTACATGCATATATTTTGCTTTCGGAAAGTGATTACCTTCGAACGGAAAGCTACAGAAAGTCTAAATTTTACTGGTGGGATCTACACCGTCACTGTGCATTTTTTTTAACATCTTGGAACAGTCTTGGGTTGCCTACCTTGCACCGCGTCTTCTCCATTGTACTTCATTCTTCGAATGTAATCCCATCGTTTTCAAGGATTCAAATTGAAAGACTATCCGGGACTATCTGGGAGGTGTTCTTCATTCTTTCACTGATCTTTCAAGCAGCCAATCAGAAACCAAAACATGGCTTGACCACCGGAAGAACATTTACGTTACTGCCCACTCCAGACCAAGAGGGCGGTGCCACAGGGTCGCGTGCTGCGTCGTACCGGCCCTCCTGTAGTCGTAAAAGTCCGGCTGCATCGCCATTTAGTTCGGCTTTTAGAGTCTGCGGGAGGTGAGACCTCGCTGTGAGAGAAGTGGTATCTGGTTTAGCAGCAGGAGAAATCCAGGCATCAGAAGGTAAGAATATTAAATAAAGTTTGAGGGGACGTCCTATCCCCAAGGACCGAAGGCCGTACGGCCTCGTGCCTGGCGACCACCTCCGGAGGTTCCGGTTAGGAGTCACCTAATATACAGCTCGCAGAATCCCTGCTAGCAAAGTAAGGGTGTGAGATGAGAATTAAACTAGGTTGTTGGCCCCTGGTCAACAAAGAGAGGCATCTGGGACCAACAAAAGGCCCCATGCGAGGGTCGGGGGTTTAGCTCAGTGGCGCAAGCGGCTGCCTGGCAAGAGCAAGGTCGTGAGTTCGATTGCTGATACCAAAAAAGAACAAAGGCCCCACGTGAGTTCCTACAACTTGCCCTCTCCCAAAATGGTGGCATCCCCGACAAATACTGTGTCTGCGGTAGCCTTCGAAAATGGCGAGCGGGATTACCGGAAATGGTGTGTAGAACTGCCCCCTACGCTAGTAGTTCAAGAGGATATTACACTCGCGTGTCTACCGTGGCACTGACGCAAATAAAGTGAAATGCTTTTATATAAGCTGTATGGAAATGGACTTCCCAGAACAGTAGAGGCCTTACGGAGCCGTGCTCTTGCCAACAGCCCAGGAAGCCATGGTTATCGCTATAATCAACAAGTGTCCTCTCACTTAATTTTCGGGATAGGGTAGAAGCTTAAGAACCTTGGCCAAAGGCTACCTAATGTAGGTCACCCAGAGAAGGAGTCTTTCTGAGTGACTTTGAGCTAAATTCAAAACCTTTTGCCGGGGGTGGGGGTGGGGGTGGGGGGTGGTACTAGGACTTCAACTCAAGACCTTGCGTTTGCCAGGTGGGGACTGTTCCACTGAGCTCTATCCCTGGCCCAAATGCAAAACCTTGAACAAGGACCAAGGGAACTGTCTCTCTCAGAACAAAAGGGCCCCATAGAACTCCACAACTGTGACAAAATTCTCCTTTTTTCTTTTTTTCTTTTTCTTTTCTTTTCTTCTTTTTTT